AAGTGAGGGAAAAAGAAAAGGGGGAAAGAAAAGGGGAAGGTGGAAGAAAAGGGGAGAAGAAAGAAAAAAATGGAAAAGCATTTGGGGGGGGGTTCTGTGGATCCCTTTGTTGTCCCTTCCCCCCATCTCTCACCATTTCTCTCACCTCACTGAAGCTGGAAAAATCAATATCTAGTTTTCTGCTGCCCGGCTCCATATAACCTTCCCAGCTGTTTTTATCACTGGCGCCAAATACCGAAGATACATGTAGCATTCCCATGCTGATGCTAGAGTTCTTGAAAAGGTTTCCCCGACGCTTCCTCCTGACATAAGAGGGAGGTGTAGCAAGAGATGTACCATCCTAGACAATGAAAACAAGCCTTGATTCATTAAAGAAAGAGATAGAAGCTCAGAAAGAACAAGAATGTGATAGCGTTGTCCATTTGCAGGAGGATATGAAAACTTAAGAACAATGTCAGTCAATGATAAGGAAGAAAGATGGTTTCATTAATTTTACAATCATTTTTTTTTTTAATGCCATGTCCTTACAGGACACAATCATGACACCTCAGATTATAAAGACGAAGGAATCTGTGAAGAGCCATGGCTGTCTATGCTCTGAAGGGATATAGCGTTAAAAAAAAAAAAAAATATATTGTTTTTATCAATGTTTCGACATGTTCTTTGGCCTTCCTCAGGTAAAAATTGCATCTGATGGTTTTGGGAAGTCATATAACTGAGGAAGGCCAAGTGGCATAATCTTAAACAACAAAGAGACTTGTTCAGAAAAAAAAAAAAAAAAAAAAGTGTAGAATAATAAAAATATTTCATCACAGAAGACAGCAGTTATCAGAATGGAGAAAAATCCTCAAGCCATTCAGAAGGAAGTTCCTAAAAGATAGGATCTGGATAGAGTGATAAAGATCCAAAAGAAGGTTGACATCACAAAAAAGACATGAAAAAAGCAAGAGAAAAATCATTTTAAACAGAGTTATTTATTGCTACATATGATCCTCATAACAAAACCTTATAAATAAACAAAAATGGCAAACTTGCAGAAGCTTTAATTTTCAATTTGCTAATGATGTAATTGGATAGTAGTTATGTAGTTTTTAACAGATGATAACAGTTTATAGCTATAGCCTAACATAAAAACAAACAAAAACAAGTTCTAGAAGACTCCAAAAAGTCATACTAGTACTATACTTAGATACGATTTTAGGAATTTTGTGTTGGGGGTAGACATTTTTTTTTAAAATAAACTAAATTAAACCCTTGATTATTTTTTAACAAAAGATCATCGAATTGTGTTACAGGAAATATATATATATATATATATATATATATATATATACACACACACTTCTGGGAAATTTACCTATATTGCTGACATGTAAAACAAAAACCAAACTTTTAGTAAAAAGGAAGTTACCAATATCCAGAAAAAGGTTTATGCAGGAGCATCTCTTTTTTAAAATTTTGGATTTGATGTAACTACAGCTACAAAACATTTCACTTTCATTGCTAAATTTGATAAAAGCAGAAGACGACATACATTGGCAAGAATTAAGAATTTTTTCCAATAGTCATTTTTAAACCAATTTGTCTTATCTTCAAAATTATTTCTCGGAAATTTAAATATATATATATATATATATATATATATATATATACATATGTATAAAGGAATTGTATTCCTAATATATACATATATAAAGGAATTGTATTCCTAATCAATCAAAATTCGTAAATAATTATATAGGCCACACGACAACATGTTTGACACAAAGACTCTCTCTACAACTTTCTGACCATAGCTCAATTAGATCTCATTTAAATATTCATGGTAACCTACCAGACACTATTCGTAACATACTTGCTGACAACACAGCTATAATAGTATCATCTACATCCAAAAAAATAATGGAAGCCTTATTAATTAATTAAAGCAAAAAAAAAAAAAAAACAACACTCAATAATATCAACTATGAAGATGGACGTAATATCTTGAAAGTGTTTTGAAAAATGAAAACATAAATACATACATGCAACAAACTATTTTTTATTTAACAGTTAAAATATTTCATCCTTGAAAATGGCTAAATGTATAGCCATATATGTATTAGATCACATGAGAAATTGTATAAAAAAAAATAAATCAGAGCATCTTGTCTGTTGTATTCAGTAAAATGTGCACACACACACACATACATATATATATATATATATATATATACATACATACATACATACATACATACATACATACATACATACATACACACACACACACACTATTTACATTATTCAGACTATTGTCCTCATCTTTGTCGCCATATTTATTATGTTTCGGAATGTCGAACTGAACCCTTTATTTAATCACTGGAGTAGACTGTTCTAGTTCCACGTGCCATGTTTAATGGATGACAGTTATCTCCTGTTAATTCCCCTCTCTAAGTTCTCCACCGTCTTAACCGGGTATTGAACTCTCACTCTTTGGGTCCTGTCACTGGATCTAACTAACACCTTTATCCACTCTGCCATGTGTCCTTGAGGATATCTGTGTATAAATTTCTGGGTATTATAAACTTAATGTCTTCAGTAACCATTTTTTAACAGTGCTCATATGCAATTGCGGCTTACAATTTTCAAAAATTTAAATGTCAAGTCAATCGCAATCTTTTGTCTTCCTAAAGACTGTTCTTTTATTTTCCTTTTGCCTCACTAAAGTCTTCTCATTCTCTTTCACTCCCAGTATCCCCTTGCGTCTTTGTGACATTACTGCCTTGCTTGGGGTAAAATGATTAAAAATCAGGATGTAAAGATTGGAACAATTTATAATTATTTTTATAAAATTAATTCTTACAAAACAACTTCATCATAAATGATTATTATTATTAATAGTAGTAGTAGTTTGTCTAGCGACAAATCAACATCCTTATGGGTCATTTAATACCAAAATTTAATTTTCCTGAGAGCATTAGTAATTTCATTTACAAAAATATATTGCTGGTAATTTTTTTTTTTTTTACTATGAAAATGTATTAATAGTATTTTTACTATAAAAATATATTTTTATACTTTCATAGTGTTTTGACCCCAGTTTGGGCGTTCACTATTTGCCCCTAGCTGGTACCCTAACAGTTACTACCACCTCGGGTCAGGGCGAACCTGGGAACAACAGCAATTAAGAGGTGGTTTCATACTCCTCAAAAGCTCCCAATTAGAAACCTTGCTGCCGGATGTAGTTTATCATCAGTAGCAATAACAGTATTAGCAGCTTTACAGTAGAAATCACTTAATGTGATCAATTTCGGACGAGAAAGTCATTTAGAAAACAGTATATCAAAATTGGTAGAATTTATATTTTTTTCTATTAAATCCAGGTTCATTACCAGATGAGAGCTACCCTTCTTCCAGAAAACAATTTGCCCCTTCATGCAGAAACTCTGACCTTGTTAATGACCATAATAAAATTCTGTGATTCTAATGAACAGAAAATAGAGGAAAAAAGAGAGAGAGAAAAGAAAGAAAGAGAGAGAGAAAAAGAAAGAGAAGAGAGAAAAGAAAGAGAAGAGAGAAAAGAAAGAAAGAGAAAAGAGAAAAGAAAGAAAGAGAAGAGAGAAAAGAAAGAAAGAGAAGAGAGAAAAGAAAGAAAGAGAAGAGAGAAAAGAGAAAAGAGAAGAGAGAAAAGAGAAGAGAGAAAAGAGAAAGAGAGAAAGAAGAGAGAGAGAGAGAAAAGAGAAGAGAGAAAAAGAGAGAAAGAGAAGAGAGAGAAGAGAAGAGAGAGAGAGAAGAGAGAAAAGAGTGAAATCTCAAAAAAAAAAAAAAAAAAAAAAAAAAAAAAAAAAAAAAAAAGAAAAAAGTGTAATCTCCAAAATGGTCAGTTTTCCTCAAAAAAAGATTGCACAGATGTGTAAGCATTTTGCAGGCATTAAATGCTGAGGCTATTCCTTTCTCTTAACTCTCTTACTTTACAAAACAATCTGCTCCTAGTGGTACTTCACTGTAATGGCGACTTTCCCACATTTTCTAGAACTTAGAACTAAAAAAAAAAATATCCAAGTAAAATTAAACCTTGCCAAAGAGAGAGAAAAAAAACAACTTTTGTTAACAATTTCAACCAATACTGGTTGCCAACTATCGAAGAGCTGCTTTGATTGGCTCAAATAAAGTGGAGAAGAAATCAGTGATTCCACTTTGAATGACTAAGATGTCTGCCAGAATTGCAGCTAATGACATTCTGGCAATATTCCAAGAGATAATCATAATGAAGTTCTATTCCAAATGTCCAGTTGGTTGGACTTTTCCTTACAAATAGAACTTAGAGGAAGTCTGCAATCTTCAGTTTGAAAAGAACTAAAAAGAAAAAGTAAAGAAAACTCTGTTCAAACAAACGTTTCTATAGAGTCCCACAAAGTCAGAAATAAAGTCACTTGATGACGACAAGTATAAAGTGAATCTCACTTTTGATTTTGAATAAACTACTATCAAATAAGGAAATGAAATCACCTTATTATTAACAGATCGTGACAGCTATTAGAGAAGATGTGATAGACTTTAATGTTTAAAAAAAAGATTTATTCAGTATTATTGTTGTTTAAGGTAATAAGCATTGTAACAGCACAAATAACTATATTGTGGAAAAAGGAATTTTTTTACCTTATCAAAAACGATATTCTTGTACATGTATTTATGTATAATATTATGCATTAATTACTAATTTTATTTAATTAACTATTTGTGCTCAGTTGTTGACATTAATAGCTATCTGCTGATATGTTAAAATTTTAGAATAATTCAATAATAAAAATTTAAATTTCATTTCAGTGATAGATGTTGTGATCTGTAAATATGTATATATAAACATATAGATCAAAGATAAAAAAAATAATTCTTTCATTCATTTAACATGACAGCTGCCTTACTCATTAGGTCATGCAGACTTATCAGCTGTTATTATTCAAATTTAACCTTATTTTTTCTCCCAACTGCCTTATATATCAACATCTTTTTCTGTCTGAATTTCTGGGATGAGGAGTTATTATTTACACTATTCATACACGGACTATTGTCCTCATCTTTGTTGTTTTTGTTATCACAAATTTTGAATGTTGTGCACTCCAGCCTTCATCAGGAGTTTGTTGTTCCTGGCAACTTTCAGGGAATTACGATATGAACCTTTTAATCTATGGGGGTAGATTGCCCTGGTTCCACTGCCCATGTCTAGAGATACATCATTTAGTTCCTATGATAGTACTGCTCAGTTAGTGCTAGCCATGTTTCCACTACCCAGCCCAGGGATTGATCTCACAACTATGATGTCACCAAATTCACAAACCAAAGCTTTAATACACTGAGCTATTGTCCTGAACATGGAACTTTAAATCTAATCTTATCTCATTCTGCCTGCTGCTGTCATGCTTAACTGCAGTCACCATGGCATCTCTTTTTTTACTGCTGCTGCTACAGTTGAAGCTTAGCTGTCATTTCTCTTTATTTATTAATGGCACCTCTGCTGAGGGGGCCCTTATAGGCTAGCCTATGTGCTGATTCCTTCAGACAGCTGACTCTCCAGTGTTCTTTGTCTAGTATTAATCCACTTCAATCCACAAATAATAGTAAGTACTCTTATTCCCCTCCATATATGATCAGCTATACCTGATTTCATGTTCTCACTACTAATTAATGTACTTTTGTCATAATAATAACAAAGATGAAGACAACATTTTTTTAATCAGTTTGTGCCAGAAATTCAGAGAGATTTAGGAACAAGGTTAGTATTATTAAAACTCGTGCCATAATGTACTCAAAGTAGATTTTAACCATTATTTACATTCTAAATGTTATCATCACGTTTCAGCTGTTGTGCCTTCTGCTGTTCTTCAAGTGCTTGTCAATTCAGGTAACATTCAGAGAATTGAAAACTGAACCTTTTATTTATTTTCATTCCACTGACTATGTTTAGGGATATCTCATTTGTCCTTATGTTGTACAATTTAGTTATTGCCCCACCCTGTTTCCACTGAGTCTAAGCCTTCACTACCCAGCCCAGGGATTGAGCTCACAATTAGTATGTCACCAAATTCACAAACCATCACTTTAATCTGCTAGGCAGTATATTCTTATTAAACATACATAAAAAGTTCAGATTTTTTTCTCTTTCTTAGATGAAGCATTTTCATTGTTTCATGAGTATTTCTTTCATCTTAATTTCAGTTACCTTTTGTCACAATTACACAATAATCCTGAAGCCATAAAGAAGTGAACCAGAAAACTGAATGAATATCTAAGTGTTGTAATAAAAAGTAATTGAAAATAAGATGAAAGGAATAATAGTTGGAATATATATATATATATATATGTATATAATATTTTTATTATAATAGATTATAATAACATTAATTTAAAAACAAATCGTTACCCAGTTTCAGAAGTGGGAGGGGGGCTTAAAACACTTTGTTTTTAAATTTCCCTAATAAATTTTTATCACAAGTTATCTACAATCGCCTGAGGAAGTACGACTATAGTATTGAAACATGAAAGCTTTTGTGTTGCTATGTAAAATGTTTTTATTTTATCTATTATAATGAAAATATTATATTTTGCTCTTCTTTGTATTGAGCACAATTTTTTTAAAAAGTAAATGCTACAAACTGTATTTTTATTCCATTTTTTCTCTTATTTGTGTATGTATGTATGTATGTATATATATATATATATATATGAGAGAGACGTATAAAAAGACAAGAGGAAAACTATTTTTAGCTGACTCATTTTGTCCTTGTTTTGAGGACTTTATCAAGGCAAGTGTAGTGTTTATTTTGTTGCATGTGTTTATATACAAGAACAAGTATGTCATTGGTTTATCAAGGTTTTTAAATTTAACAATGTTTATGAATATTCATCAGGTGGTTGAAAGTTCAGTCAAAACATATGGAAGACACAAAGTGCCATAATTCAAAGACTGGTAAGACAAAAGTGAGTGAGTAATATTCAAGAAATTTCTTTTTTATTTTGCTTCTGTATATAAACATGTGCAACAAAATAAATCCTCCATTTGACTTGATAACATTGTTTACTGTAGTACAATATTTTCTTGACAGATGGCATTACATTAGCGGTCGATTGACAAGAAATTGAAAATGCATGTGCAATAATCCCACTGAACACTTTAGCCAATGTTGCCCAAGCAGTAGTTTGCCACACTAATAAATGTCTGAAAGCTGAAAGCCACTATTTTGAACATCTCTTGTGATTGTAGAGTCCAAAGTTAACTTGTATTAATCTCATGATGTCTGAATAAATTTAGTATTACAATATCTATACAAGTTTTTCCTTTCTGGAAGTGTGTAAACATTTTTTTTCATGAACTGTGTACAATATATTAGAAAATATACATAATACCTCACATATAAGGTATTATGCATATTTTTAATATATTAAATAGCTCTGTTATTTAACATTCAACATTGTTTTTTCTTACACTATCAAGTATATTTATATGTATTTGTATATGAACACTTGCTTGTACATTTACCTATATTTATCCATTTTATATATGACTCATGCAAATAAATGTAAAATGTCACTTAGCTGATTGACGTTATATTCAGCTTCAACTGCACCTCAATTTTAGAGTTTCATAGATTAACTTTTTGGCAATTGTTCAATTCATTCTATAGGAGGTTTCTCACAAGATCAATTATGACTGAATAGTGAGTTCAATCCTCCTAGGGTGCTCCATACTTTTGACCTTGTGTCATATGTAAGCTATACTTACTAAATCACAATTAAAGAAATATTTTTTTTTTTTTTTTTTTTTTTTTTTGGTGGGATGGATATATACAATACTTTTCATAGCGTACACAGACAAGACATTCTGATCTGAGGCAAGAATGCAAAGGAGTAACTCTTTAATCATAAGCAAAGCATACATGTATCTGATTGAAGGTACAAGTGCTTATAAGTAATTCTGTCATTTTTGATGGTTACTATGCTAGCTGATAATTAACAATGCTTCATTTAAGAAATTAAAGATCAATATTACTATGAAGGAATTATTTAAAAGAATTCAAAAGAATGAATATGTTTGTCAAAACTCCTACAAGTTGATCATACAAAACTTTGGAATTTTTTCACCTGCTGATTAAGACCAATGACAAAAATAAAGTTTCAATATCATATTTATAAGTAGTAATGGGGCACCTTGAGGTGGTGTAATGGTTAACAAGCTTGTCTCGCTAGGACTATTATGACTGAGTAGTGAGTTCGATCCTCACTGGGTGCCCATACTTTCGGCTTTGTGCTACATCTGACCTACGCTTGGAAAATCACTTCATAAGTAGTAATTTCTTTCTCTCATTTCTTGAAAATTAAATCTAAAAAATTAATTTTACAGAATTCAAGTTGATTCCACATAAAAACAAGAAATTATTCATTTATGGAATTAAGCAAAAAGTATCCATCACAGAATTTGGAGATTTTAATATTTATATTTTGATATTAATAAAGAGAATGTAGAGGAAATTTAATAACACTTTTCCTGATTTGGTAAGTTAAAAAATAATTCAATCAGTAAATGACTATATATATATATATAAAATATTAGTGGTAAATATACACATACATATGCAAAATATACGAATGTATATACATAGGTGCATACACATACATGTATATTTTTTGAATAAAAAATTCCAAGAGGATAGAATCCAGGTAGAACTCAATGTCCAGGATATAATAAGGATAGGTAAGGATATAATGAAAAGGCTTAAACACTAATATTCCCTGGTCATAATTTATTCCATTGGAATCGTAAATACGATCCAATTCATCAGACCTACAAATTCAAATAATTCAAATTCAACTAATATATATATATATATTAACTAAATTCAACTAATATATATATATATATATATATATATATATATATATATATATATATATATATAATAGTTCAGATAATTAGATGTAACCATAAGTTCTAGGCTAACAGTTTCTCTTCTTGTACTTCTCACTAGTAGAACTCTCTTCCAGCTTCTTGTTTCCCAGTCAACTTTGCTCTTCAAAAGTTTAAATACAATGTCAATTGTTATCTTGTCTTTTTTTAATTCCTGTTCCTTTATTGTTCTCCTTAATCATTAAGGGTTTTTTTTCTCATATTTTCTCACACTCAATAACCCTGCTTGCATCTTAGTGGCTTTGCTGCCTTGCTTGGGGTGAAAATGATTAAAAAACAATTTTTTTTATTTTTTTTATTTATGTCTTCAAAATTAAAACTATTTTATGCAACTTTATTGTTCCTATTTATCTGAAATTTTCACCTAAATAAGTTCATAAAAATTATCCACGAGATTCATGGACCAGGAAGCCTGTTTTCAATTAAATTGGGCCAATTGTTTTTCCTGTTGCATAAAATTCAAATATACTCAGATTTGAATAAAATTCTGCAGTCAAAATAGGAACAAGAATTATTTCTAAGAAATGAGAAAATATAAATTTAAAAAAAAGAAATTTTCTCTGTAGTAAAAAGATTCATGATCTTTGCTTTTTTTTTTCTGTCTCTCAGAAAAAAGTTCATGTAAAAATTTAAATGGTACTAAAAAATGATTCAAATAAACACTTACGACTGGGACTTTTAAGCAGTTCTTCATTTAAGTGTCAGAAATAAAAACGACAAATATAAGAATGAGTCAATCACTTGTTAGATGACAGCATAGTTGGTAGAAGGACGACGACTTTTGGCAAATGTTTTGGTAGGTCCACTCTTGTTCAAATCACGATGCAGACTAAATGAGACGCTTTATCATAGGGGCAGATAACTCCTCTCAGAACATCATTTTGAACTAACATGATTACCTCCCTTGTAAAATGTCTAACTTTATATCTCCGTTCCACAATAAGAATTGACCAATTTCATTGCTTTAGAATAATTCAAATGTGGATACTATATTTTCTATAATCGACCAAATCATAAACGAGAAATAATTTCCTTTCACAATTTGTTAAGAGAATT